CCTGGATTCCCTGTATTTCCAGTTCCTATCTGTACCAGTCTACATCCTCTGGTCTAGCCAGACTTGCAAGGTAGAATTCGTGTCATGATAGTGGGGGGCGGAGGAAACATTTAGGAACTAGAGGAAAGTTGTATGTTTCATCGTTGCTACATTGCACCCTGACTGGCACATCTCCTCCCCGAGACCCCTCTGCAAGGGGATCTCCAGTGGCTTTCATATCTTACATCAACCGCTGTCTCCTTTCCCCTATGGTTTCTGTTGTTCATCCCCCTGGAAGGGGGTGTGTGTGGTTATGTGTCAATCATCACGATCAGTTTCCCCTTCTTCCCTTCCTCTTCCCACCTTCCCCCTACCCTTCTGGTATCGCTACTCCCATTCCTGTTCCTAGATTCCATATTGCTTGGTGTTAAGAAGACTTCAGCGGAAACTTTTGCTTTAAGGTTTAGATATTCTCTCAGAGCATTAATTTCTGGAGCCCTGGAAGCGGAATAACCCCCTGAAAGTCTGAAGTTCATGGAATTCTAAATTGTGTTCTGTATTTCCCACTCTTTGGTCGGGATTTTAATATAGATGCAATCAAAATGTTCAGTAATGGTAGTTAAGCACACTTAATTCTAGTCTTATGGCAAAGGAGGGAGATTTTCAAGGAAGCAACTATTCACATAACCATTTCCTCCCTGTAGTCCTGATTTTTTCCTCTAGCGTTATCCCAGGCAAAGAGACCAATTGCTCTTCAGATATCCGCCTGAATGGATTTTAGACTCCAGGCACAACACAGTAGACCCGGGAGGTAGAGCGGAAACAATAAACACTTTATTTGGCCAATTAACTGGGACATCCATGAATTCATGACCCCAAACCCTAAACTAGGAAACCAAATCCCAGGCGGCGTAGTTTCTACCTCTTGCCTATGATGGGGAGTGCTGCCGTGAACATGGGTCTACCTGTTCTGAGTTACTGCTTTCAACTTTCTTGGGTACTTCCCTTGGAGCTGAATTGGTGGATTTTATAGTAATTTTAGATTAACTCTTTGAGGAACTTCCCTGTTGTTTTCCACAGTCATATCATTTTAACATTCATGTTATTTTAATATTAAAATAATATGGAAAGGTAGCAAACTATTTTAGAGCAATGTGATATTTTTATATCAATGTATTCAAAATGGTTTTCTTATCTGTATTGAACAAGATAATAGGACAAAATTGCATGAAATTTAAATTTTTAAATGCTTTAAAAATTCTATTTCATTGTCCTTTTTTAGGGACCTGGAACAAATGAAGATGTGTTGATTGAAATTCTAACCACAAGGACAAGCAGGCAGATGAAGGAAATATCGCAAGCCTACTATACAGGTAATCTTATTATCTGCTTACATGCAGTCTATCAATGTTCACATTAATGCACATGACCCAACCCATGGTATTTTAAATAGCCTTATTTGTATTCAAAAGTTGGACAATTAATGAGGAAGTCTGATTGATGCTTTTAAGTTATGGTATTGGCGAATACTGACTATACGTGGAATGTTCCTAGAATGCACAAATCTGTCCTGGAGGAAATCCAGCCAGAATTCGTAGAAGTAAAGGTGGGGAGGCTTGATCTTAATGTACTTTGGACATCCTGTTGGTGAGGAGTACTGGGGCATTTCCAGAGATCATTTGAATATAATCTAAGCTAGAAGTTGATACATAACAATGACATGAATACCTTGCATTTATATTATAAATACCTTCTATTTAGCTCTAAGAAATCACTGTTTAACTGAATCAACAATTTTCATCAACTGTGGAAGAGACTCAAATCATTTAATACTATTATTATATGTTAAAATCGCACAGGAGAGGTGGAGTAAAACCGCAAAATGAGTGGGAGCACCCATTTACCTTCCCAGTAAGGAACTCACCAAACAATGAATAAAGAAAGCACATACTTACATCTCCAGAGGCCAGGTGGCTACTGAAGGACTGAGTTGAGTTAAGGTTAAAAGTGGGAAAGAGGATAAATGGGGTTTGTTCAGAAGTCAGAAAATCCTACCCACTAACATCAAAGAGCTCTCTCATTGCAGCCATTTGGGGATGGGGTCTGAGTAAAGTTCTAGCCATCCCCAACCCTCTTTTTTTTGAAGGCATTGCAAATTAGCCACGGGAGTTCACAGACCACACAATTGGGAGAGGATGCCCTTGAGTGGCAGACATGGCCACTACTGTCATTATCAGAAACCCAAGTCTCATTACTTACAGTAGTATCTCCAAACAACTGCATTTCTTTCCCGTGGGAGTATTGAATTTCAGAGACAAAGCATACCAAATCTTAACGTAGCACTGAAAAAATGAAATCCTAAGGATAGAGTACCATCTAATGATTCTCAGGAGAAGATACCAACCCTGCTGCTGCTGCATCGTTGTGACAGGGGCTGAGGGGAACATCCCTGCGGGGTTCCCAAGGCTATGAGTCTTTGATCAGGTTGTCTGCTGATCAATTACAACTGAACACTTTTCCACCTCTCCATCAGAGCATACAATTATAAAATCCTCTCACAGTAAACAAAATATAAAACTTGAATCAAAATGTTTTAAAAAGATGACAAAATGGCCCAAGTTCAACAAAAGATAGTAAAACACATGAAATTTGCATCGAAGGACCTATCAAAAGCAAATCATAAAGAAAATGAAATCTCTACTATAGAAACCAGAATAATGCAAAGAATTGATTATTTTCAGACTATGTGTTGAGTATGCTTTAAGTGGCGAAACAGGGAGAGTAAAGGGAGAATGGGTAGGAAGGAGGGAACCGATTACAAGGAACTGTGTGTGACCTCCTCCCTGGGGGACAGACAACCGAAAAGTGGGTGAAGGGAGACGTCGGACAGGGCAAGATATGACAAAATACCAGTTTATAAACTATCAAGGGCTCATGAGGGAGGGGTGAGCGGAGAGGGAGGGGAAAAATGAGGACCTAATGTCGGGGGTTTAAGTGGAGAGAAAATGTTTTGAGAATGATGTACAAATGCGCTTTACACAATTGATGTGTGTATGGATTGCGATAACAGTTGCATGAGCCCCTAATAAAATGTTTAAAAAAGAAAACACAAAATAAAGAAGAAAGCAAAAGGCATGCCCAAAACAAACTAGCAGAGTTCAGGATACAAAGGGGAAAATAAAATAAGAGACTTAATAAAAGCATGTAAAACATTACCACCAACAATAAAAGCAATGAGGACTACTGGAACTGAAGAGTCGTTCTTGTTGTTAAGTGTCATTGAGTTGGCCCAACCTCTCATGACCCTAGCCACAGCACACTGAAACTCCACCTGATCCTACACCATCCTCACAATCGTTCCTGTCCTTGAGCCCATTATTACAGCCCTGTGTCGATCCATTTTATTGAGAGACTTCCTCTCTTTGGTTGCCCTTCTACTTCACCAAGCATGATGACCTTCTCCAGGGACTGATCTCTCCTGACAACATGTCCAAAGTAGGTGAGCTGAAGTCTCACCATCCTTGTCTCTAGAGAGCCCTCTGAGGGTACTTATTCCAAGACAGGTCTGTTTGTCCTTTTAGCAGTCCCTACCACTTTCAATGTTATTCACCAGCACCACAACTCAAGTGCATTATTTTTTCTTCAGTCTTTCTTATTGACTCTCCCATATTCACATACATATGAGGCTATTGAAAATACCATGCACCAGGCACATGTTAGTCCTCAGAGTAACATCCTTGTTCTTCAAACTTTGAAGAGGTCTTGTGTGCAGATTTACCCAATGCAGTGCGACATTTGATCTTTTGACTGCTGCTTCCATGAGCATTGCTCGTGGATTCAAGCAAGACAAAATCCTTGACAACTTTACTTTTTTCTGTGTTTATCATGATGTCCAGTTGTGAGGATTTGGGCCTTCTTTACATTGAGTTGTAATCTATACGGAAGGCTGCAGTCCTTGATCTTAATCAATGATTGCTCCAACCCTCCCCCTTTTCAGCAAGCAAAGTTGTGTCATCTGCATATCGAAGGTTGTGAAGTCTTCCAATCCTGATGCTACATTCTTCTTTATAGAGTCCACTTTCTCAGAGTATTTGCTCAGCAAACAGACTGAAAGTATGTGCTGAGAAGACACAACCCTGACTCATATCACTTATAACAGACACAGATAGGTGGCTTGTAGATATTTAAAAGTATTTCACTTTCCCAATTCAACACGGTTTGAATCTTTTTTAAAGTATCAGACCCAAGAGTTCTATCCCAAGATAGCTTATTATTTCCTGATATTTCTTTTTTTTTTTTAACATTTTATTGGGGAGCTCTAACAAGTCTTCTAACACTCCACCATTCAATGCTGTTAAGCACACTTGTCCATATGTTGCCATCAACATTTCCAAAGCAATTTCTTTCTACTTGAATCCTTGGCATCAGCTCTTCTTTTTTCCCTTCCCTTCCGCACCCACTCACCCTCGTGAAACCTTCATCAATTATATATTATTATTGTTCCCTCGGTTCTTAGCACTGTTCGTTGTTGGCATGGACTGTTTCATTCACCGATGTATCATCAGCTCCTAGAAATAGGACCAAATAAGTACCCGTGCAGTATGTGACAAGTCTTTGTTACATAAATAAATACACTCCGTAGAAGATTATTGTTTCCTAACCTCTTCTGTATAATACACAGTTCCATTACATCCAGTACACAATCTGGTTTTTGGTCAAATCTTCCACACTAATCTAGGGAGTCCAAACTGATATATATTTAAAAGAGCTGCTTTCCCCATAAGTATACCTACCTTAAGATGACTGCATGCAGCCCAGAATTTATGTGTAAACAATGCCAGGACTTAAACTCTATAAGGGTCGGGTTTATTATATAATAAATTCACGGATGTATTCCCAGAGTGTGAGCATGTTTCGGGGTGATGGATATTGTTAGTTGTCACTGACGTTGTTCTGATGCATAGTGATCCTTTGTGTAACAGAATAAAGTGCGACTCAGTCCCCCACTATCCTCAGAATCATTGCTACATTTGAGCCTCTTGTGGTCAATCCATCTTGTTAAGGGTCTTCCTCTTTTTCTCTGATGCTATCAAGCATGATGTCCCTCTCTGAGTACCCACCCCTTCTGATATCATATCCAAAGTAGATGAAGTGAAGTCTCACTATCTTCTGTGTCGATGAGAATTCTGACTCTACTTCTTATAAGACATACTTTTTCATTTTTTAGTAGTTCTGGTATATTCAATATTCTTTGCTAAAGCCATAATTCATAGACATTGATTCTTCTTCAATCTTTCTTATTCATGTTATCTTTGCTTTTTTACATGCTAAAGAGGTTTTTAGTAGCATTTCTGCCCAGTACGTCATTTGTTTTCTCAACTGCTTCTTCCAAGGGACTAAGTAAAATGAAATCCTCGATAACTTCAAGTTTTTTCCATTTATCATGGTATTTCCTATTGGGCCAGCTGTGAGGATTTTTATTTTCCTTATGTTGAGACTAATTCATACTGAAGGCATAGTCTTTGGTCTTCATCAATGAGTGCTTCAATCTTCGTCACTTTTGATAAGTACGTGTGTGTCACTGCATATCACATGCTGTTAATGAGTCTTCTTCCAATTGTCTTCATATAGCACAGCTTTGACAATTATTTTCTCTGTATGCATATTGAATAAATATTGTGAAACAATACAACTCTGATGCACACCTTCCCTGATTTTAAACCATACGGAATTCCTGTGTTCTGTTCAAACAGCTGCCTCGTGGCACAGGTACTGGTTCCCTGTGAGCACAGGTACTGGTCCCCTGTGAGCACAGGTACTGGTCCCCTGTGAGCACAGGTACTGGTCCCCTGTG